AGCGAGATACGCAGATAATCCCAATTGCAATGACGGAGAGATCCAAACCATGGATCATCTCCTAAGAAATAATCCTTTGGGCCCGAGGTGTTCTGATGCAGACTTGAGAGATGTCTCAAAATTCGTATTAAACACGTTGCTTCATTTGAGCGACACGGTATGAGAAGGACTCTCAGGATCAGGATCATCGCTACAAATATTAGTAGAATTGTGATATTTGCTACCACTATTATCAGAATGAAAATAGAATTTAGTCATTGTTGGATAGATTCTCAGAAACATTTAAAAATAACATCCTCAATATCTCAACAACGAAGCCTTAGCTTGTGTAAATAACAGAAACAAAAGAGCTTAACCATTAATTGGATATTGTTGCATCCACAAATGATTTCTCGCTTTTCATCCTCATGACTTCATCTGACTTCCTGTTGTGCATGAATATAGAACAGTTAACTCGTCAGCGAAAAGATTAAAGGAAATGTTATGAATTGTGTCTGTGTTTGTTGGCGATTATTCTATTATTCTGTTACAGTTAAATAATAATATTCTTGTAATCATTATTTTCATAATCTTCATAGTCATTTCGATTTTTATAATTACCTTCCCCGTCCTCATCAATCATCATCATCATCATCATTTTTATCCTCCTCCTCCTCATCATCACTGCCCTTATATTAACGATCCTTTCCATACCTTTACTTATTATCCTTATTATTATTATTATTATTATTGTTATTATTATTAGTTGCTGTTGTTGTATAATTATCATTATCATTAGTAGTATTATTGATATTAGCATTATTATTATTATCAGTATTATTATTATTATTATTATTATCAGTATTAGTGTTATCATTACTATTATTATTATTATTATTATTATTATTATTGTAGTTAATCATCATCATCATCATCCTCATAATCATCGTTATTATTATCATCATTATCATTATTGTTATTATTGTTATTATTATCATTGCAATTATAATTGTTGTATTTGGTTATTATCATTATTATCATTACTATTATATCATCATTAATATCATAATGATTATTATCATCATTCTTATCATTATCAGTATAATCTTTGTCGCCGTTATCACCTTCATTTTCATTATTATTATCGTTGTATTATAATAATTATCATCATTGTTATTGTAATGATAACAATTATCGTTATCATCATTATTATTGTTATTATTGTCAATTTCATCATCAATGCAGTTATTATTGTTATCATTGTTATTGTCATTAATATCATCATCTACAGCAGCAATACCGTTATCACAAATACCAACGTTGTCATAAATATTATGAAATCATAATTATTACTAATGATATTTCATTAACATTTCATTTGTGTTACAGCTTAGAACAGTGTTGTTACTCTATCAAGATTAGAATATGGCTGATAACCCTATTGTGTATACTTCCTGAAACACAAACACGGACGTGATTCTTCAACGCTGTCATTTCCGATTCTTAAATAACAATGCTGCCAATAAATCATACACTTCATCATGTAGACTATCGTCGGATACACTGAATCCGACAGTGACAATCCTTACATACAATACCATTTTTATATAACTTACATTCAATAGATATAGCAATATAACAAAAATACGTTAATGATCAGGTTTATGTAGTTTTACAATAATTTCATATAACTTAAGGTATAACTTACTTACAAAAATACGTTAATGATATCTTTGGACAAATATGTAGGTATCGATTTGAAAGGCCAACATTATTTATGAAGAGGTATTGGAAACAGGGAGAGAAAGAATTGGAGGAAAAATAGAAAACTTTATATTCTTGTATTTCATATGTCAAATTTAACAGCGTTTGAAGTTGTCTGGTCACTGTGGTCTGATATTTTGGCACTACTGTGTTTTGCTAAAAGCTATGATATATATTGTATTTTTTAGAGTATGGAGAGTACAGTAGTTTAAGGACTTTAAACTTCATTTTCTAATAAAATGATAATATATGAAGATACTATATGCATAAACATATATACAAACATAAATACATCTCTTGTATTGTGAAGATATTCATTCTCATTCATGCTTTTCAGACATTTGTCAACATGTATGTAATATATCTATAAATATATATATATATATATATATATATATATATATATATATATATATATATATATATATATATATATATATAATGTATAATATATCTTTCTGTCTATCTCTCTGTCTGTCTATGTATCTATCAATGTTGGTCCTTTATCTATTGGCCATATTCGCAATGGAACATGCACAGTATGTCGATTTGACCCCAGCATGTTGAGGTCAGCATGTGTTGCTAGATCAATCCCAACGCTTAACTTCGCTAAATGGGCAAGAAACAGTGCTTTCAGCAAGATATGACTGTTAGCATATGGACACACACACACACACACACACAAATATATTCACACATGCATGCACAAACACATGCTCTCTCTCTCTCTCTCTCTCTCTCTCTCTCTCTCTCTCTC